AGCATCACCGCCTTGTGCTTCATCTCGTGTCTGTAAATCCACGCGAAGATCTTGGGGAACCGCGGGTCCGCGACGCAGTAGGTGATCCGGTGCAGCAGGTAGAGGTGTCCCGGCCTCCTGGCTTTATCGTCCACATGCACCATCCGGATGCCCTGCGAGCTGACGGTCAGCCTCATCTTGGTGCCGCTTTTCCCCATCTCGCTCTTCCCCCAGATCTTGCTCACCGCCACGTCCGTGCAGCCGTCCCCCTTGGACTGGATGGTGGTCGCGTTGCCCAGGTAGAGCACCGTGTACGTGGGGTCCTCGCTGGTAATCTTCACCTTTTTCCGCTTGGACTTGAACATGCTGCCCACCCGGTTGAGAGCGCTCTCCGGGCAGGACTTGGCGAAGGAGGTGAGAGCGGAGTAGTTGAGGCTCACCGCATAGCCCTTCTGCTTGGACTGCTTGTCTTCCTCGATCAGGTCGAACTTGTTCTTCTTCCACGGCAGCATTTTACCGCTGTTCCCGTTCAACAGCAACACTGGGGACGAGAAAAAAAATGATGTTACTATAAAAATCCTAGAAGTGATCGGAGAGCTTCAGTTATGAGCCACTTTGGGAGAACTGAGCGGAGAAGACAACGTACTTTATGTGTCCATCACAGCAAAAGCTTCTGGCCATTATCCGCTCACCGACCCAAGAGCGCACAGCTGAGTCTGTTTGCTGTACGGGGAGCAGATTCCTCCTTTATATACAGGGAGAGACCATGACGGACCGCGCGTAGGGTGGACTAAACCATTTTACTCCTGATCCGTTCTTGTGAGTCTTTACCTTTTACATATATATTTAAATGAGGGCAATCGTGTAAATATCGGTAAGCAGAGTACGCAGGAAATAAGAATCCTGATTACAGACACAAAGATGCGGAAAAATTCCTCTTTAAACACACCTGAGCTTCTATTTTTTTTAATGTAAATTTTCACAGATATTCTGGAAAGAAGTTGAGGTTTACATCATATCACACTCCAACACACCAATTAAATTACAAGCCAAATATATTATCTTACACTATAGGCTACTAATAATGATAGGAAACTTGATGATCTAGGTTAACTTGATAATTCTAATTGCAAAATTCCACATAGGCTACACAAAACCAAAATTTCCAAAGGTCGACCTTACTTCCCTGTGTTTGAAAATGATTTAAAAAAAAACTTCAATTGTATCCAAAGAATCAGCAATTAAAAAAATGTATACACACTGTTAACGTAATTCAGGAAATATTTGGAGAAATGCAATATATCTTGCCTTTTTTTTTTTTTTTTATCTCTTCCGTTATCTATTTAAGTTGTTCTATCTTAATTTTAATTGTACCCCATCATTGAACTCTTATTTTGGAGATACAGTTCTATATCTTGTGATAGTTTTTTTGTCAATGGTTTGTAATTTGCAACTTTTCAATAAAGTTTTGGATTGGGAAAAAAAATTTTTGTAAAAAGCATAAAAAGTGAAAAAGTAAAAGTCATTAATGAAAAAAAAAGACAAAAAAAAACACCTGATTTGATCTTACTTATACCCCATTATATGTCAGATTTCAATATTATGGTGAGCCGTTTAAATACAACACCAATAGCAAAGCAGACAGTGGTACTTTTAATTACTATGTTAATAACTGTATAGTTCATTAGATGGTTGGTTAAAAAAAACCAACCCTCATATAATATGTTTCAAACCGCAATAAAGATCTTAAAACAATGTATTTGAGTATTTTATTTTTTACACTACAACTTGGAATTCTGGGTAATCCAGAGTTTTGTACTTCACCCAGATAATGTTGCTTATTGTTGTGTCGCTACACCATTGAATGAGGGTAAAACTTAATTAGTCGGAGTATAATTTAACATTTTATTCACTTCACTCTAAAAAGAGAAGGCAGCTCCAGCTGAAATTAACTGCTTCATTTCATAACAAATAATTTAACCAAGTTGATCCAATTTTATTTAGTTTCTAAGTTGCCCAAGTGAATATATTACGGTAATTCAATTACTTGTCAACAATTGAAGTCATTCATTTAAGCTGGAGCTACATTATCCCTTTTAATAAAAAAATTACACCGATTGCCAATGACATAACTATTGGTAAGCAGAGACTGCAGTTGCTCAGTGGCCCCCGACCTCTTAGGGGCCCCGTCACTGACACATGGTTGGCCCCCTACATAGCTGTGGAGTAGGACGTCTCTTTGCAGATCTAATGGTGCAAAAAATTTCTCTAAAGCCCACCTGATATGAAATGTCTGACTGGACCTTATTTATACCTCAACACATGCCAGATTTCAACATGATGATGAGCCGTTTAAACACGACACCAATAGCAAAGCAGACGGTGGTACTTTTAATTACTATGTTAATAACTGTGTATAGTTCATTAGACGGTTGGTAAAAAATACAGTCATACAATATGTTTCAAACCGCAATAAAAATCTTAAAAGAACAATGTATTTCAGTATTTTATTTTTTACACTACAACTTGGAATTATGGGTAATCCAGAGCGTAGATTAAAACCATAACCGTTACGTACAATGTGTTAGCGACGATTGGTACCAATAGAGGTACTTGAGCTGATTCCAGAAAAGAAAAAGGAAAGAAGAATTGCTGGAAGAGCGGAACAAACTTCCCAAAATAAAAACCTTCTTTCTTTGAACCAAAGAGGGAATGGTGGACGTTGCTGCTACAATGAGTGAAGATTGCGACCAGGAGATGAATGGAGACATCTCGTGTCACCCCCCCCCCCCCCCCCCCCCCCCATAATGTTGCTTATTGCCGTTGCTTATTGTTGTGTCGTTACGCCGTTGCCGATTGCACACATCATTTAATTTTATTGCGGGGTAGCCTCCTATACATGACAGTTATAAGCTAATTTCTTTTCTTCTACCCAAGCAGAGGCGTAGCTAGAATTTTAACAAGGGTGGCCAGGCAATAACCAATGTACTGTACACTGAGGGGTGGCGGAAAGTAGATAGGCACCAGAACCTCACAGCCAATCTACACTGTTCCAACTTGAAAGTAACAAGCAAAACATTCGTATTTTATAAATAAAGAAAAACCTTTGCTAACAAATATACGAATATATTCAAACATCTGTTCTTTCTAAGTACCGGTAAAAGGTATAGTGGATCAAATTCTTTCAGGTTTTGAGTTTTGAGCAAACATCTTTTCCATTGTCATTACTTACCTACTTTTGTCAGTAATCATTCTGCATAAAATTTACAAGTATTAACATCTACATATATTAATTATTTAATAAGTTTGTATTAAAACAGTTATTTATCTATGATTTCACTGAAGACTCCTAGATGACTTGCAGAGACACATTATCTTCTGTTTACCCCATAACAGACAAAATCTAGTTCTGAAAAGAGCAGGAATTCTGTGCTTATCATCTTTAATGTTAGTATAGTGATATGCATAATTAACCACAGTGTTTTTGTTGTCAAGTGGCCCCTGATCTAGCTCTGCCCCTGTATCCATTATTCTGACACAGCTATTGAAAACAAATAAGAAAGGATGTTAGTAGGAAATTAGAGTGTTTCAACTAAAATCTAAAGCGTATAAACATATATTTCATGTTAATTTTGTTTATAAAGCGTTGTTTTACAAAAAATAGTCTCCATCACAGTTTAATGATATTCTTAGATTTAGCCTTAGACAACTTTGCTGTCTAAGGCTAAATTTTGGCAAACTAAATTTTGTTTTGTACAGCTTTCAGGCAGTAAATGAGCAGCGGCTTAGCAGTGAAATGAACATTTCCATTCCATAAAGTGCAGCAGTGTTCAAATGTAAACAGCGTGGGAGAAAAACATGGTGCAAAAACACATTGATAGGGAAGTTTAGGGCAGTGCAAAAACAAACAAATATATATAGGCCTAGTGAAAAAATGCAGCAGAAAAAAAGCATTTGAGTGGAATTCTATTAGTATGATGTTATCAGTGTGATGCAGTTTTGATTTGTGACTTGATTTAGAGTTTTTTTCAACACAAAAAACTTTCTATATATTCTATACATTACTCAGAGATAGGAAGAATAGACAAAAGATGTACTCTAAGATTTGTGTTAGCCTACTTTTGTACGCCTTTATTGAAGAATATCTAAGCTTTTAAAAGCAAGCAATCAGATTAAAATATAAAATTGTGTAATCTTTCGGGTATTTTGAAAAACAGAATCGAAAAGAAATAAACAGATTTTTGTAATCATCGTTTGGAGTTGCCAGTCATAATCGCAGCAACTTAAAAGTCTAAATCCATATTCCTCTTGAATCTGCTGGGAAAACCCAAACAGATCAGGACCGTTTAATGTTCTGTATTAAATATGGACCAATCCAGACATGGATTTCATAACTCAGTAGGTGTGAGGTATTAGTGTAATAAGCATGGGCCTACCATTTTAGGATTTCATTTTTTTAAACCATCAAAAATAACTACCAGCAGTCCTTCAGAGTATAACAAATAAATAGAAAATTGTGACAATTTCTAGTATGTCATGAAAAAGAAAGAAGAAAAGATTTTGATTATTTAACAGTAAAGGTTTTATGCTGCCATCTAGGGGTTTTATCTTGAAACTGCGTTCCTTGATATTGCTACGTTTACAGGGAAAATAACTTGTAAAACATTTTTAATAAGTTAGTACGTTTAGTAAGTAAGAGTACCAAAAAAAAATAATGCAGATTTTCGACTTTGAATCTCCTTTCTGATCTTGTGGAAACAGCAATCATTTGAGAGCTAGTTTCTTCAGAGCTTATTTAAGAGCTGGACAACTTCATGGGAGAAACCACTTTTTATTATTCTAGATATTTATATAGCTATTTTTCCACAAACAAAATAGGCATATTAAATCGATATAAGTGTATTAGTGACTATAATATATAAGATGTAACATAATCATTGTTTTGAATTTTGCTTACTGGTAATATGTTGCGTTGCTTTAAAGCAAACACCGGAAGTTCGATGTTGGTATGTTCCACTTCCACAGTTCAGGACAACAAGGCAGTGCACATGTGTTTAGACTGTTGTAGGCATATAACGCTTTTTTTATACACCTAAAGTCCTATACTTCTTTTCTATTTTGTAGTGTAGAATATTTCAGACGTCGTTATGGGAAAGAAGAAAGCGGGAGGAGGAGCTGGACTGGGTAGAGCACTGATGAAGGAGAGGCTCCAGGCGGGCCGGGGGAACAAGAGGGGAGATTCGTGGGTAAGACATGACTACAGTTAGCACTACATACAGGTGGAAATATCTGTCAGGAATTCAAATATATTTTCGATAAAAAAAAAAAAAATATATATATATATATATATATGCAGCATCACTTCTGAGAAAGTGTGAATTATGGCATGTATTTATTTATTTATTTATGTACTTATCTTTTTTTAATCTCACATTTCCAGCTCCACACCAGTGAACTGAATGATGGCTATGACTGGGGCCGTTTGAACCTGCAGTCAGTGACAGAGCAGAGCTCCATGGATGACTTTCTAGCCACAGCTGAACTGGCAGGAACAGAGTTTGTTGCAGGTAAAACACAGCCATGCTGCCAGTTAAATACTCTCTACATTGTTGATATGAATGAGTTTGATCCCTTTCTCAAGTTCTCTCAGAGAACTGAAAAGTGCAGCTAACCCACTATTTATAAATACTCAAATAGACCTTCACAGATGTTAAAATCATTGAACATGAGGAAGTTATTAAGAAACCTAAACCTTTTTGTAGCCACTACAAAACATCTGGTCTAATTCTGGCTGATGTTTAAAAAAAAAAAAAACTCTTTAGTATTTTGTGTAATTCGAAAATATTCAAAATAACTTTGGATCTTTCCACAGGCTTGATTTTATCTTGCTTTGTTAAATTCAAAACAAATTTAAGTTTGCTTTGATCATGATTTGTGTTTTGAATAATTGTGAGACCGTTATCTTTTTATCATATAATCCCCTTATAAAATGTATTATTAACCATTGCAGCCAACCATGCCACTCCTGTTGCTGTGCTTGACATTGGTATTTATTCTTTTTTTTCATTAAAGCTCTTTTGGCCAAATGTCTTATTTTTTCTCTGATCGGAAAACCTATTTGTAGGAAAAGTCTTCTTCTCTTTTAGAGATAACGGTAGTTGTCAGCTTTTGATCTAGGATTTCTCTCTAGGTCAGAAACTTTTTAAAACTGATTTATACGCATTTTATTGTTTTTTTGTTGTTGTTTTTTTTTACCCAAACGAAGTTGACAAATTTACAATCCAAATTACCATATAAGCCTAAGGAGAATCAACAGACATTCTTTTATTTTCATCTTTTTTACAATTTTAATATAATTACTGCTCTAAGTGGGTTCCTCTGTCAACTAAAGGCATGTTTTATAGTCTCTATGCTCTAGGTAGTGATTTATTAATTACTTAATGAGTTGACGATTATTTAAATAATCGATTAATTCGATGAATTGTTTCAGCCCTAGTTCCAAAGCATGTTTTAATGCATAAATGTCTAACAGCATTAAAAGAAAAATTTTGGAATAACAGTGTTGGTCTATCCATCATCAACCAGTCAGTGAATGAGAGGGAGGATAGATAGACTCATCTTGCAGTAGCTATTTATTTCTGTATTTACAGATAAATCAGTCAGTCATCTGGGTCAGAATTTGACATATGTGAATTAAACGTTGTGTGTTTTGAGGAGGATAATGCCACTAGCAGTTTAAAGCAGCTTCTGATGGACTTCATTACTCCTGTATCATCCACTCCAACATTGTTCTTTCTGGTTTCTCAGAGAAACTCAACATAAAGTTTGTTCCAGCCGAAGCCAGAGCAGGGCTGCTTACAGCTGAGGAGAAAAGCAGGTTAAAGAAGCTGCATGAAGAAAACAAGCATTTCCTCAGAATTCCTCGGCGGTAAGCGGAAAACACCTGTTCGAAATCTAAACATTTGATTGACTTTGGTTTTAAAGCATGTTTTTCTTCTTTTTTTTTTTAAGTCCTCACTGGGATGAAAGTACCACTCCAGATGTACTTCAGCAGGCAGAGAAAGACAGCTTCTTGCAGTGGAGACGAGAACTTGCTCAGTATGCATTAATTCTTTCTAAGTTATTTTGATACTGGACCCTCCTATAGTTTTCCTCTAGAGCTACTGCTGAATGTTGAACGCTCACTTTTGTTGCATATGTGTTTAACTGTAATTTTGATATTATTTCAAAGATTGGAGGAGGAACAGAAGTTAATTCTAACACCGTTTGAGAGGAACCTCGAATTCTGGAGACAGCTGTGGAGAGTTATCGAGAGAAGGTAAAATTAAAGAGATCTGTTAATAAGGATACGGAGCTTTGAGGAGCAGTTCATACTTTTTTGTGACTTTACTGCCACAAACTTCAATGTGTTTCTCAAATTTCAATTCTTGCCATAGATTCAGCATCGGTTCTTACTCTAGACTTTGTCTGAGGTTCTGTCTCTTATGTTTAGTGTTGCCATCCAGCAAACTGAACCGCTCCTCCTAGATTGTCCTCCTTCATTCATCTTTCCATTTCTTTAAGTAACTTCACTGTCCCTGCAGAAGGCCAGGGTGCCCACAGCATGATGCCACCACTTCTATACTTTATATTGAAGATGGTGTTGGGGGCAGTGTTGTTATCATCAACAATGATGAAATTATTTTGTTAACGCTCCATTTTTTTCATGACGATAATAAAATCTGTTGAGCTAAACATGGATCTTTGTTGACGAAAACTTGACGACTCATGGGTGTGAGTTTTCATCAATGAGACAAGGCTAAATCTAACTGTTAGCGGGTGGTCTGTCAGACGTTTAAAATGCATCCTTGTGCTGTAATCTGTTAGACAAGTGAAGCAGTATCAGCCGTACAGCTGCATCCTGTTTGCTCATGCTGCTCACCTGGCATATGGCGTTACATATTCTGCTTGACCACAGATGGATCATGGCAGCAGCAGCGATAAAAAAAATAAGCCAGAATGGTCCGGTGCTGCGTGCTAAACTCTTACCAACTCTGCCTTTCCAGGTGTGCTTTTGCAGAAATGCATTTTTGCATGCATTTAGCTCAGAGTTTGTGCTTTATGCTACGTTCAGACCGCAAGCAGCAGGAGCAGAAAAATATAGCAGCACATACTCACGTGCTGCTATATTTTGCTGCTTGTACAAGTTTAGTTCTGACGCACGGCTGAAGCATCTTTGCTGCTCTTGCTGCGCGGTCGAAAAGTGGGTGTGATTCGCTTTGGGTGAGCTACCCTATCCTTTCTTTGCTTGTAACTATATTTGCTGTGATCAGTGGGTAAAAAGTAGTTTTAATATATTTTATTATTAATAAGTGAGAAAGCCACCTGAAAACCTCATCTGTGCAGTCAGTTCATCAAGATTTACAATCCTGCCTTCAAATATTATTTCGCTGTCGGAGCCGTTCAGACCCCAGTACACCGGCGGTGTGCTGTTACTAGGAATCCCGTTTAACAGCAGCCTATGACCAAGTCGCCTCTTCGCGATTTTCAGCTACTGTTTGCAGTGGCCGGAAGGTGTTTTTCATGTATGTCATTCAAACTGCAGGCACCAAATAAATCTATTAAATCTATTTTGACAGCTGAGAAGTGGTAACCAACGGGCAAATTGGAGAAATAAAGCCAAAATTGCCAAAATATAAAGAATGTTTTCGTTCATTGCTTTTTTGAAGCAATGAAGATTTAATTAATCTGTGTGCATACATAATTCGTAGTAGATCAGAAAGTGTTTGCTTTGGGATGGAAACCTCATAAGTCTAAAACCATTCCTTTATGCACATTTTGTTAGCTTGTCTATCTGCTATAACCAATATGATGTGTTGAACTAGATCTGCCATTTTTACAGTTTTTGTGACACTTTTTTTTTTTTTTAAGTAGGGCATTAATTCATAAAGTTTATTTGAATTCTTTAAATTAAAGTATTCTGCCCAACAGCAATGATGAACTGCATTGCAGCATTCTATACCCAGCTATTGTAGTATCTAGGATAGAGTTGTCAGTGTGGTAAAAAATCGAAATTGTAAATGTTAACTTTTTTTGCAACATAAAATTAGACTAAAACCTTTTCAAGTTTAAGTCGACTATTAAGTATCGTAATGATTAAAATGTAACTAAGGGCCGGATTTATCAAAGGTTTGCGTGTATTAAAACGTGAGCTATTTCACTGCGCACGCTAAAAAATGTACAAACTGATCTATCAACAGCGTGCTAAAAGCATTTGGTCTTTAAAACGTGGTAAATAGCACCTCTGATCCATTTAGTACTTTTTCTGCAATGAATATGCAATATGGGGCGTTTACACGCTAAAGTGCGTCTTGTGGGAGGAGAACATGTAAATATATTAATTTAGCACTCGCAAAGTGATTTATCAAACTTGAACGCAATTTTGCTAACGGTATCTGACTCTATATTTAACACGTTTCAAAAGAAGGTGCAAATGGTCTGTATGCGTAATTGCGCATACATGGCAGCGGTTATTGTCGCAAGAAGGAGACATGGAAATAAAGCAAGGAGACGCAGAGAACGCATTTTTTCACTCCGTGTGAATATTTTTGGAATGAACGAGGAAACGATCATCAAAACATATCGTTTATCCAGCATTGCCATTTTGGAGCTGTTGGGGGAACTCCGAATGGATTTGGAGCCAGCCACAAGGAGGACCCACGCAATACCAGATATCACAAAACTCCTTGCAACATTGCACTTTTTTGCATCTGGTTCATTCCAGCGTACGGTTGCAGCGTGAGCTGGGATCTCCCAATCTCGTTTTTTCAGAAGTGCTGTCCGACGGGGTCGGGGTTCTCCCCCTGCGCCTGTGGAGCAACGTGCCAAATGCTGCGGGGATCTCATCCACAGTCACAGGCCAATACAAAACACCTGTTTTTTTTTTTTTTGTTTTTTTTTTTACTGCAGCACATACCACCTTAGGGAATAAAGGTTGTCAATTTATAAATATATATATATATATATATATATATATATATTTACTTATTTATTTTTTTTGTTGGGGGTCACTGTAAGATTTAAATTTCTTAATGCACTAGTTTGTACAGACTACAAACTACTTTGCCGCAAACCACAAAACGCGCAAAACCATCATTTAAATAGGGCGTCTCCAACAGTTTTGCACCTTCCACCAGTTACGCAATCACTCTTGTTAAATCACCCGCAAACCATGGTTCAGCCCCTCGCGCAAAATTCCAGTTTGCGAGCGCAAATTACTGCACGCAAAATTGGATCTTGATAAATCCGGCCCTAAGACTAATAATAGTTTTCATCCTGAAGACTAAGACTAAATCTAAAATGGCTGTCAAAAACAGCACTGTTTGGGGGGTTATCAGGGTTTCCGCGGGTCCTTAAAATGTCTTAAAAGTCATTGAATACTTCAAAATAAAAGTAAGGCCTTAATTGGTATTAAAATGTCTTAAATCAGTCTTTCGTAGGCCTTAATTTTTAAAACATCATAAATAGGATTATTTTTATTACGATTTATTTTTGTAATCTAAATGAAACCTTAAAATTGACAATTATTTTTTTTTTATTATAAAAAAAAAAAAAAGGCTTGCCATTATTGGTTCCATCCCGATAGCGGAACCAATAAAAGCGTTGTTGTGGCCGGGATGTTTGGGAGATGCACCATTAACTTTTTGTCTGGAAAATATGAGCAAGTGTACAGGTGCTGGTCATAAAATTAGAATATCATGAAAAAGTAGATTGATTTCAGTAATTCCATTTAAAAAGTGAAACTTGTATATTATATTCATACATTACATACAAACTCATATATTTCAGATGTTTATTTTGTTTAATTTTGATGATTACAAATGACAACAAACGAAAATCTCAAATTCATCATATCAGAAAATTAGAATATTGTGAAAAGGTTCAAAATTGATGACCCCTGGTGCCACACTCTAATCAGCTAATTAACTCAAACCACCTGCAAAAGCCTTTAAATGGTCTTCCAGTCTAGTTCTATAGGCTACACAATCATGGGGAAGACTGCTGACTTGACAGTTTTCCAAAAGACGACCATCGACACCTTGCACAAGGAGGGCAAGACACAAAAGGTCATCGCTAAAGAGGCTGGCTGTTCACAGAGCTCAGTGTCCAAGCACATTAATAGAGAGGCGAAGGGAAGGAAAAGATGTGGTCGAAAAAAGTGTACAAGCAAGAGAGATAACCGCACCCTGGAGAGGATTGTGAAACAAAACCCATTCAAAAATGTGGGGGAGATTCACAAAGAGTGGACTGCAGCTGGAGTGAGTGCTTCAAGAACCACCACACACAGACGTATGAAAGACATGGGTTTCTGCTGTCGCATTCCTTGTGTCAAGCCACTCTTGAACCACAGACAGCGTCAGAAGCGTCTTGCCTGGGCTAAAGAGAAACAGGACTGGACTGCTGGTGAGTGGTCCAAAGTCATGTTCTCTGATGAAAGTAAATTTTGCATTTCCTTTGGAAATCAAGGTCCCAGAGTCTGGAGGAAAAGAAGAGAGGCACTTCATCCACGTTGCTTGAAGTCCAGTGTAAAGTTTCCACAGTCAGTGATGGTTTGGGGTGCCATGTCATCTGCTGGTGTTGGTCCATTGTGTTTTCTGAGGTCCAGGGTCAACGCAGCCACATACCAGGAAGTTTTAGAGCACTTCATGCTTCCTGCAGCTGACCAACTTTTTGGAGATGCAGATTTCATTTTCCAACAGGACTTGGCACCTGCACACAGTGCCAAAGCTACCAGTACCTGGTTGAAGGACCATGGTATCCCTGTTCTTAATTGGCCAGCAAACTCTCCTGACCTTAACCCCATAGAAAATCTATGGGGTATTGTGAAGAAGAAGATACAATACACCAGACCCAACAATTCAGAAGAGCTAAAAGCCACTATTAGAGCAACCTGGGCTATCATAACACCTGAGCAGTGCCACAGACTGATCGACTCCATGCCACGCCGCATTGCTGCAGTAATACAGGCCAAAGGAGGCCCAACTAAATACTGAGTGCTGTACATGCTCATACTTTTCATGTTCATACTTTTCAGTTGGCCAACATTTCTATAAATCCTTTGTTTTTATTGGTCTTCAGTAATATTCTAATTTTCTGATATGATGAATTTGAGATTTTCATTTGTTGTCATTTGTAATCATCAAAATTAAACAAAATAAACATCTGAAATATATGAGTTTGTATGTAATGTATGAATATAATATACAAGTTTCACTTTTTAAATGGAATTACTGAAATCAATCAACTTTTTCATGATATTCTAATTTTATGACCAGCACC